CAATAGAGTAGCTAAAATACAATCTTTTACAAAAATTGGTACGTGGACGTACGTTAATAGCAAGTAGTAGTAATCCAGCAGATCTGGCATCTCGAGGTGTCATGCCTGAAAATTTAACTTCTAGCACTCTATGGTGGAAATGACCTGATTTTCTATTATTACCTATCGCACAGTGGCCAAATATTGATTTTATCATTTGTAAAGCAAATTTGCCCGAAATGAAAAATATTTCCACTGTATTAGTTGAACCTTTGAATTGTTTTTGAGATTTTACAGTTTATCCAAATTACAACGCGTCACTGCATACTGCCTGCGGTTTATTAGTAATTTAAGAAATAAGGAACACAAAATAGTTGGTTTATTAACTGTTCCAGAACTAGAGAATGCTAACACTATTTCAATAAAACAAGTTCAATTGGAATCACTTTCATCCGAATTGACTACGTTACAAAAAGGTGAACCTCTTGATAAAAAACACAAACTTTCTTCATTAGCACCTTTTTTGGATAATGAAGGAATTATAAGAGTAGGCGCCCGATTGAGAAATACATATTTGCCTTTCAATGTCAAACATCCAATCCTACTCTCATCAAATCATAATTTCACTAAATTGATTTTCGAACATAAACATAAACAGTTACTTCATCCCGGCCCTCAACTACTGTTAGCTTCAGTAAGGCAATTCTATTGGCCAATAAAAGGACGAGTGTTAGCAAAAAAGGTAGTGAAAGATTGTTTGATATGTTTCAAGATTAATCCAGTACCTTTTTCAAGTCCAATGTCTAACTTGCCAGATACATGAATAAAACCTGAACTTCCATTTGAAATTGTCGGCATCGATTATGCCGGTCCTTTTTCTATTTTGAATAAAAAGGGAAGAGGGGCAATACTAGTGAAATGTTATTTATCAGTTTTTGTTTGTTTTTGCACGAAAGCAATACACCTGGAAGTTATCACAGATTTAACTACAGATAACTTTTTATCCTGTCTCAAAAGATTCACTTCCAGACGCGGCATACCATCAGTTATTTATTCTGATAATGGAAGTACATTTGTAGGTGCAAATAACGAATTATGTAAATTAGGTCAGTTGATTTACCGTAATGTCACATATGAAGAGTTCAATACTCTAGCTGTACAAGTTGAAGGAATCCTAAACTCGCGACCATTATTTTCATTGTCAAACGATCCGAATGATCTTTCTCCAATCACCCCTTCCCATGATTGATTGGGTCCTGACTTCTATTCCTGACCATAATCTGATGGAGACTCCAGTGAATCGGCTATCAAGACTTCAACATGTCCAACAACTGTATCAACAATTTTGGCGTCAATTTTCCAAAGAAAACGTGTTGCAATTGCACCAAAGCTATAAATGGAAAGGCACACCAAACCCTATCACTGTTGGAAAACTGGTTCTGATAAAAAATGACCAACAACCACCCTGTAGGTGGTCATTACGACGAATCACAAAATTGTTCACAGGAAGAGATGGCTTGAATCGTATAGCAGAGGTCACTACATAGCGAGGGACGGTTACCCGGTCCATTAGGCATCTGTGTTTGCTGCCATCTCAAGAAGAGACTTATAATTAACTTTTGATCAAGTGCATGGAAATTACATGTGGATATGTGCATAACATATCATTTATTGTTGATTTTCTGTTGATTCATTTGAAGGTGCCCTTCAAAGGGGGGGCTATGTTAGAACTTTTTCAGTATTTCGAATACATTCAGTCCACTCTGGCAACTATGCTTACGCATTCGCGCCTCTTCTCAACGGGCATCGTTTGTTCTTGTTGTTGTAACTATAGAAAATAATAATAACATACATTGTCAACATATTGTCACGATTGTCAAATACAATTGATAAAATACAGTCCACAGTTTAAAATTATTCACGTCGTTGGTCGTTATCATTCATCCAATACCATTTCCCTATTATCAAGTTGAACCAGCAATTACAATTTTCAACAATAATAATGTCCCTTTTAGATATAATTATTATTCTATAGCATGTCAATGTCCCTTTTAGATATAATTATTATTCTATAGCATGCCATTGTCCGTTGTTTGTCCATTTTGTTTTTTGTGAACTGACTAGTCTGATAGGATGGTGCAATGTACTATATTTTTGTTATATGTGTAATGTATAGTCCACATAGATGAATAAAATTCTTTCTTTCTCTCTAAGTTGAAAAAATTCAACTTTTGACATGTATCAAGTAACGTAACCCCGACCAAGTAGTCCATTTTTCAAAACTCAACGCCCAAGTCGAATTTCGAGATAAATTATTGATATTACATTTATTGCCCTAGGTAACTAAAGTGTTACTTTAAGCCAGCGAATCCGGGCGATAAAGTGCCACTTTACGCCTGGTCGTACATAATAGTATATTGTGTATCTAGTGCGTGAAGTATACTTTTTTACGCGAGTGTGGAAGTTTGTGGAACGAGCCGCACGAGTGTAAAAAAGTCTTCACGGACGTGATGCACACTATACTTTTTCTACGACCTTTTACTTAGAGATTGAATTAAAGGAAAATTTGACTAATTGTCTTTATTACAATAATAATTATTATGAACAGTTATATTGCAATTTTGTAAATTGTCAAAATGTACATTTACTTTGTCTTTCTCTACAAAATTAGTGCTAAATAGACCAGCGACCGGTGTGTGAATTTGTATTGACTCTTATGGCACCGGTGCGTGAAATAAATCCCATAAGAAAAGCATGGCACTTCACACACCGATTCGTGAAATGAAGCTTTACACATTTTTATCGATGTGTGAAGTTAGTAATTTACATACGGGAGTAGAAAAAGAATATTTTCATCACGGGACCTTATGTGTCCTGGGTAATGATGACATTATTTACAAACAGGAGAACAATGTAAACAATTTGTAGATCCATTCCATTGTACTTACTGCTCCTTGCCCGAAAGTACAGTCCTTAATCCAGTGACCACCTTGGTGACACTTATAGCACTTGTAAGTTGGAGGAACTGTTCCCATTTGATTGGCCCCTCTGATTTTCATGTAACTAAGGAAAAAGAAACACGTTAAAAATTGTTGACTTCTGCAATTATTATGATAATGATGATGATAATAGTTTGTTCATCTAGCCACCACGACATTAATAAAATAAAATATAACGTTGTATCACACTAGCGGCGTTCACTCCCGAAACGAGAAATTAGCAGCGCCACTATTGGTTGTTATTTATCTCAATAATATATCAGGAATTCAATATTTGATAACCAAACAACTACTTCCCTGGCTAATGCCACTAGCTCAGTAAAACGGTAACGATTGGAACAGAGAAACCGACTACTTGAATTTTTTCCAAGTGAAAATACCATTTGATTGGACTACACGCAGAACATTGAATTACCCGATATCTATGTAACGATCCCTATAAGCGGATACTGATTGCAATACTAAAATGCTGTGAGCGGAATTTAACATGAAGAGAAAATTCTCACAGAAACGACACGTTCTTAGGTCCAATTCGGGTGTCCACGTCGATGTCAACGTGGGTATCAAGATAAAAATACACCTTTTCTTGGAAATCTTTTTTTTTCAATCATTGAGAAATGCGAGTGAATAGGAAACGGTTCGGAAAAGATCTCGCTATGATTTGGTGTTAAAATGTGTTTTCAATTGTAAAAGTTCACTCCAGAGGATGCCTCGAAGAACATCAAAAATACCGTCCTTTTATTTCGTACCTGTATAGGATATGAAGACGAAATGTTTAACGACAATGAGTCAGATGTATTAATGCAGAATGAAATAACAATTGATGAAAAACAATGTGAAGAAATTGATCCATTTCCCCAAAACTAAAATTTTCTCTGTTCGTTTCTATAAATAAACATATAAGTATTATTCCAATATATTTATGTGTAGTGAAAACTAATCAGATGATTTGCTCCAAAATGTCACTGCGTTCGAAAATCTTTCTATCAGAGCCTAAAAGACAAATTTTATCCATAGCCACTAACCAGCCAGCCAGTGTTTAGAAAAATGTTTGAAGAAGAGGTATGGATATTGATATATACAGGGTGTTACAAGATTACATAGAAATATTTCAGCCACAGATTCTTGGAACAAAAATAGTAAAAAAAAATCATATAAACATGAGCCTAGAAATTGCCCCCTCGGGACTTAAAGCTATCTAAAGGGGAGTCCGAGTTGATGGATTTATTTAAATATTCCCGAAACCCTCTGTGTTGAGATAACGAAATTTCGTACATGTAAATATATTTCTTTTCGTGCCCAATTTTGAAATGTTGAGAATTTTCCGAAATTTTTATCAGGGGCGTGGGAAATAGGTGAGGCTAGGGGCATTTCTTTCCCCAACTGTTTTTTATGCATTTTTCGGCAGTGTGACCAGGAAATATGAAAATAAAGGGTCTTCAACAAGGACCATGTGTGTGGCGGCCATGTTTTTTTGGGGGCATCTGTCAAATCTGTTGTATTTTATTCAGTCACTGATGCCAAATTACCATGGCAAGTTACACGATCGAGCAGCATGTCCAAATGATTAAACTTTATTATCAAAATGAGTGTTCGTTAGTGCAAACGTTGCGCGCATTGCGCCCATTTTACGGCAGACGCGGTGGCCCTTCAAAGTCGACTCTCCAAAGTTGAGTAGCCAAATTCGAGACAACCGGTTCGGTAAACAACCAACCAACACCCTTACGTCAAAGGAACGCCAGGTCGGCCGACAATATCGACGCTGTCCGTCAGAGTGTGCAGGAGACTCCGAGGCAGTCGATTTCTCGCCGTGCACAAGAACTAGGCCTTTCGCAGACTTCAACTTGGAGAATTTTGCGCCGGGACTTGGGCCTGCACCCGTACAAGATCCAACTGACCCAGCAGCTCAAAGTTAATGACCATAGGCAACCCCGTTTGTTCGCTCAGTGAGCTTCGGAACGTTTGGAAGACGACCCCGATTTTGGCCGAAAAATAATCTTTAGCGACGAGGCCAATTTTTGGATGAATGGTTTTGTTAATAAGCAAAATTTCCGTATATGGGATGAACACAACCCACAGGAGGTTTACCAGTTGGCAATGCATCCACAAAGAGTTACTGTTTGGTGTGGATTTTGGTCCGGCGGAGTCATTGGTCCGTACTTCTTTGAAAATGACATTGGCGAGGCCATCACCGTCAATGGCGAGCGCTACAGATCAATGATTAACAAATTATTCTGGCCTGAATTGAACGATATGGACGTGGACGACATGTGGTTCCAACAAGACGGCGCAACGTGCCACACAGCGAACGATACAATGGGCATTCTGCACAAACGGTTTGAGGGTAGGGTTATCTCTCGCAGAGGTGATGTGAATTGGCCGCCACGATCGTGCGATTTGACGCCACTATACTTTTTATTGTGGGGTTTTCTGAAGTCGCAGGTCTATGTTAATAAGCCGCAATCGACCGATGCCGTGAAAGTGAACATAACGCAAGCCATTGCTCAGATTCAGCCGGATTTATGCAGCAGAGTCATTGAAAATTGGACCTCTCGGATCCGTGTCACCATTCGAAGCCGCGGCGGACATTTGAACGATGTCATATTCCATAAATAATGGCATAAATGGGCCATTCAAATAAAATTAAAAAAATCGTAAATATCTCACACACAGCTTGTTTTATTTAATTACAACATCGACCGGTTCTTGTTGAAAGACCCTTTATCATTTTAACCTAAAAATGATACACTTGTTCAGTTTGGATAGCACTCGCAATTTTCGAGATGAATCGATTTAAAAAGTCTGCTGCGTAATAAAAATTGTACTTTTTCTTAATAGGGTACCTATCATAATATTTTTCAAATTATTATTTTTATTGTTCCTCCCATATTTTAAGTCAAACATCACAGGTAGATGTTGAAAAAAGGGTGTTTTCTATTGAAAAATAATTTTTGAGAAAATTTGCTACCCTATTATAAGAAAAATGCAATATTTTTGTTACGCAGCAGACTCTTAAAAACGATTCATCTCGAAAATTGTGAGTGCCATCGAAACTGAACAGGAGTATTATTTTTGAGTAAAAATTTTGATATTTTCATATTTCCTGATCAAACTGCCGAAAATTGCATTGAAAAAATAGTTGGGGGAAGAACTGCCCTCAGCCCCACCTATTTCCCACGCCCCTGATCAAAATTTCAGAAAATTTTCAATATTCCCAAATCAGGCATTAAATAGTATATTACGTAATATGTATTGTAAGAAGCATATTACGCACGAATGAAAAAGTTAATTCCATGAGTGCGTAATTGCTTTACAACACGCATTACGTACTATACTTTACCTACTGCCATATAGTACATCAAAAAAGTTTGGACAAACAGTCTGAATTATAATTCTTGACAGTTATGTCGGCGATTACGCGATCATGACATACCTATACTGGCGGAATAAACGAAAACTGTACGATTTGCTTACTGTGCGTAAAGAGCTACTTACTGAGGCTGTATCTCGTGTGTTCTTGCCTACTTTCTATAGTGGCCGTAGGTAAAGTTTTATACGTTTACAAAATTTCGCTATCTCAACACAAAGGGTTTCTGATTTATTCTTTTGACAAACGGACTGAACTGACGACTGAAGAGTGTAATCGAAGTAAATCTCGGTTATTTTAGTTCACTTCTCATCATCTTGAAGCATTAGGTGAGGGAGATTACCCAAAATCGAAAGAATGGATGTTAAATGATCAAGTTCAGTAGTGAAATAGTTCAGTTCGTTCAGTACGAAGAAATATCACTTACACAAAATGAAAGGAAGTAATGCTATTGTCTTCGTCCAGGAGAATGCAAGCGGATTCTTGAAATTGTATTTTTTGGTTTATTATTTATGACCTATGATTTTAATCTTATTCAATTCTGCCATATGTTGTCAAACTTATTGTCCCGTTCACCTGTTTTTGCAGGTGCGAGTGTAAAGTGAATCTTCCTGTAAGGAGTTTACCAGTGTGAAAGCATAATGCGTTGTAGTCCAGCAAATAGATCTGCAAAGGCAGGCCACAGAGACACAATATCGACAGAACTCACTCATATATGAAGTGGAAATATACAGGGTGTCCCATTGGGAAACAGAAAAACTTCAATGGTGGATAGAGGTCACAAGGTGATTCTGAATATTCCATAATTGTAGGGTCTTGCAAGTTTTACATTCGAGATATAGGGCGTTTTATCAATTTTGCTTAATTATTCATGAGGATATAACTCACGAACCACCCAGCATATTTTGGGACTTGCCTGTCAGTCACGAGAAAAATGCAGGTTCAGATTAAAAATATTTTATAATATTTCTGGGCCCCAAAAAAAAGACCATGTTCGCTTACATATTTGAGAAGAGTACAAAAAGCTGAATCAAATGGGCGAATAGACTGATAATAAATTATTGGCTTCCAATTACTCCAATGAGTCTATGCATTGTTCGAAATTTCAAACGTACCGTCATGGCCGCCATTTGGCCATGTTACAGAATACCCAACAATCAGAATAGTATCTCTCGCGCGGGAGTGGGTTTGCGCATTTGAACGGCGCAGGTTGTCGGTCATCTTCCTGGGTTACTTGTTTACATGTTTATCGAATTGCTAATTAGGAATATAACCAACCAATAACCAATCGTATTTCAACATATGGCAACTGTGCTATATGGTCTGCCCCTACTTACAGTTTCTACTCGGAATAATTGCTAGCCGTTTGAAAATTACTGTGGCATTATTGATGATACTAGCATCTTGAAATCGACCGAAAAATTCTAAAAAAAATTGGAATTGATAGGTAATTGGGTGATGATTATATTTAAGAAATAAAAAAAAATCGTCCAATCCAATCGTCCCTATTATGTACCTTTCATTTTCCCGCATGCACTTTCATTTATCAATTTCTGATTTTGAATTCGAGCTTTTATTCATTCAGTTAGATAGGTTGAAAGGGAATATTATAAAATATACCCAATCAAATAACAAAAATTACGACAATTCTCTTCGATATTCTGTTGAACACTCATCGTCAACATTTGTAACCTTGATTAATACGCCAGTGTGTCTCACATATTTCAATATTACTATTGAATATATATACTCATGTACTTGTGGAAAAAAAATTAACAAATCAATCATCATTTTGATCCAAACATTTTCTTTCTTATTTCAAACTATTCCTAACTGATTTTCGGATCAAAACTCTTTTGTTTTTCATTCCTCTGCATGCTCCTTCAATTCTCTGACTTATAGGTTAGAAATTTCATAAATCGGAATTTTCATGATACGTGAATTGGACGAGTCGGCCCTCACTTTCCTCCAAGATCACCCGATTTAAATGCCGTAGATTATCATCTGTGGGATTATCTTAAATCTAGTGTCTATTCTTCTGAGATTATTACCAGGGAGGAGCTAATTCAGAGGATGGAAGGAGCATACAGAGAAATGAAATTGTTTCAACAGTGGTATGTCATTATGTCGATTGATCTTTTCAATTTATTTCCACGAATATATAACCTCAATTATTGTAGCTGATGTTGAAATACAGAGACTTTGAACGGAAAAAATCACTAGCGCGGGGTGGTAAACGATTTTTATAAAAATTCATGAGACACGTCAACGTTTTAGTGAAATTAGCTACATTTTGCAAGCAATATGAAAAATATAGCCCTTCGGGAATAGCTCAAATCAGGCCCATGTTTTTTTCAAATGCAACCTTATCGTTTGTGACCCCTCATTGGAAAGCTGGTTGAAAGAGGAATCCAGCGTACTGATACAATTTTGGTGTACCTATAGTACGTTTGTTGGGTTTTGGTACACAAAATACTATGCGCAAAAACATACAGGTAGCATTGTTATCGCGAAAAACGCAGAGAACAGAGTCACTACCGCTTTGAGTGAACGATTCGTATAATTCAATTAATTACTTTTGCTAATTTCCTAAGCTTCTTGCCTCAATTGCTAAATATCTGAACTCTAGATATTGGTACATCGTTTGACAGTGTAAAATACTGTAGTTGCATGGTGCATGGAGTGCAAGTACCCGTGAGTTTTTGTTCGATTCAAGTATATGTATGGGTGCTACTATAAGCTTTGGTTTCAACTGTTTCTAATAATGCCAGCCTAGTCCACAAAATCTAACCACGAGATTTTCTAGTTTTCCTTTTGTTTTTCTTTTTTTTTAGGAAACGCAAAACAACGTTTGAGGGTTGCATAAAATCAGAACAATATGAAAGTCTGATATATTCTTAACGTATTTTCACTTGTAGTACCACTAGAAATGTTTTCGAGCTCATGGATATTTTGAAAATTATTCCAAGTCGAAGACGAAATATTCATGAGCGAGAAAAATTCCCGGAAAGTAAATTGACCTCGTGTGGTATTCGATTGTGTTTGGAAATTATATAATTTTAGAATTTATTTGTTCACTTGATTTGCATACAGGTCCATGAATAAATTTAGTTTGGGTCGCAGTTTCCGAACAAATAATAGATTCCTGTTTTGAGAAAACCTAATCACGAATCTGCCATTAAGGTCTATAAAAATAACAAGTTTCCATCATTCAAGTTTGAACCCCTTGATTGGGTGAAAGTATTGAAAAGGAATATTCTCAGATATATTTATGAACAAAAAAATTAAATTCATTTTATTTTCATTTCAATACTGAACATATTGGTAAGTTATATTTTTATATCATAATACATCATTCTATTCTATTCGATTTGAGAGATAATGTCAATTCTCAATTTCAGAGGATTTTTATTTTTCATGCTCTCCCTTTGGATATTCAACAGATATAATTCAATGTTCAACGTGGCAAATAGCCAGGAAAGTAGTTGTTTTCTGATGAATATTCAGAATGATATCATATGCATATCTTAATATGAAGGAAAATGCAAATTCTCTACTTCAGAAGATTTTGTTTTCAAGTTCTTATCGTGTGTGTTCAATAGATGTAATTCAATATTCGTCATGGCATATAGCCAGGAAAGTAGTTGTTTTATGTTGAATAAACCGAGAAAGAATCAATATTTTCATCACTTGGAGAATGCGAATTCTCAATGTATTTCTTTATAAATATACCGGGTGTCCCAGTATACCTGTTCCAATGAATTATCTCAGCCATTTCGGGAAATAAAAATTGTAAAATTTCATGATCTCCTATTCGTTTAAGGAAGCTCCAACTGAGAAAATCGAAAATTGGAAGTCACTTCCGGTTTGACCGGAAGTGACTCAAACTTTTTTATTTCGAATAGCACCCTATATATTTTTTGCGATTTTTGATTTCTACTCCAAATTACCGTTCCAACGATGTATCACACTTTGTTTTTTAAATTTGATTTGATGGAGAAAACGACAATTGAAATTTCAAATTGAAGGATTTGCAGCAGGTTACGATATTTTTGTAATCTTGATTTAGACTTCAATAATAACTTCAAATCATTAAAATTGTAGTAGATCATGTTTTCCAAATTTTCATCTTTTGAAATAGCTGAGATAATCTATTGGAACAGGTATACTGGGACACCTGGTATATCCATTTTTTTTGTGTTCAT